GGGGCTGCAGGGCTCCTGCTGCCGCCCTGCCCGTTCCAGCAGCCCCGTCCTGCCGCTCTGCCCTCCCCCTCCTGCCACCCCGCGGAGCCGCGCGCCCACCCTGAGGCTGCTCGGACGCCGCTCCGAGCCCCGCTCCCATCCCTGCTCCCAGCCCAGCTCCAGGAGCCAGGTCCTGCGGGGCCTCCTCACCCGCCAGCCGTTTGTCCAGGTCTGCGCAGGCCGCGTGAGGGCACCCGAGCAGGGCTCAGCCTCTCCTCCCCAAATCCTGCACATTTCTGCTCTCCCACACCCTAACTGCTCAATAAACCCTTATCTATCTGATACAACTGCAATGCAACTGGCTACTCAGAGCAAAGTTCCCCTTTCTCTTTTTTTAAATGAAACTGCAAAAAATACAGCTGATCTGTATTTCCATATGAAATTTCTGCAACATTCACTGTGAAAATACTGAGTGTTGCACTCATTTCCCTTTTAGGAAAGGTTTATTTGAGACAGCACCATTACCAGCTTAATTATACTACAGGGCACTCTCTAACACTTGGTTGTGGAAGCACTCAATTAAACGAAGCAGAAGTGAGGTGACTTTGCTTGTGGGAGCCATGTCTACTCACCAATTTCACGAATTGGCTGCTTTACTCCTATTTCATTATTCACAGTCATGACGGAGACCAAACTTGTATCTGGCCGGAGCGCAGCCTCCAGCTCCTGGTGAAACGTTCAAGCAGACACAAGTTACACAAAGTAGCACAATAAAACATTCCTGAGGCTTCAGTTTGTCAAGGCAAATCTTAACCATGAGCCCCCCTAACCACCACGCTTTCAACAAGAACGTTGCTTTCTAACAGACGCTGCTCATGACAGCGCTGGCTATATAATCCCGCAGGGAGCAGAGCATAGGCAACTGTATTTCCACATGTGCTAGCACTGATGTGTGCAGCACTACTGATTTGATTACATCACGTCATCGAAGGCTTTTGCTACCTGCATTGTATCACATCCTGGGAACTTTCTTAAACAAATTAAACACCCATAAAACAGCCTAATCCACATCAAGACAAAATGAGTCTGGCTATAAAGAAATTTTGCTAAATCTGGGGAGCAGGATTTTGCCAACAAAGTTCTCCAAGAGCAGGAGAACCGGCAGGCAGGAGCCCTCTACCCTGTCCCGTAAACAGAACATCCATCCAAGCCAGATATCTGGCCTGGAAACAGCGCCGGCACCGCTCCGCACGGCAGCTGATGAAACGGGCTCCGCCGCAGCTCAAGTCTCCTCCTGGCCTTTGTGCATGGTAGGAACACGACCCGCCGCATGTCTGAGTGCTGCGTGGTATGGATGCCATGACCGAGAAAGCTTAGAGGAGCGCAGGAGAGAGAAAAATCTTTCTTCAATTGTGCTGATTTGCCAGTTATTCTCCTTGGATCTTGTGATGTGATATTTACCATCTCTTCACTGTTAATTGGACACAAGGTCCTCTGCAACCCCAGTTTGAGGCACAAAGCAAGAGGACCCTCTGCTCACCCTGCCCGCCTCGACAGCCCTTGCTCCTTGCTCCCCACGGCAAGGACCCACCTTCAAATCCACGAGGCCGCTCTTCTTAACGGGGAGATACGTGACCTCAAAACCTTCTGACTCCAGGGAACGGCAGGAATCCAACACGCACTTGTGCTCTGTTTGGGTGGTAACGATGTGCTTCTTTCTGGACTTATAGAATCTTGCAACACCCTGTCAGGTGCAGCCCAGGAACAAGAAATTTGCTGTTATACTGCTGAAGAGAGCAAGCTTCATAAAATACCCCCATAAACAAGAAACTGGGCTAAGCACCAGCTGCCATGGGAGAAACAGCTAACGCATCACAAGCAGGAATTAGCAATAGTCCCTTCTCCAGCACTGCAGGTTTACTCAGAGGAAGCAAGAAGGTAATTTTGACTCGAATGGAGAACAAATTTCTCTTCCAATAAATTAATCAGCTTTATGTAAAATGACCGTTATCCTGTTTGCCCCAAACTCATGAATCTAAAGGGCACATCATTCACCCTAGATATTTGCGTGAGGACTCGTTTTTTGAAAGCACCTGATTTTTAAAAAGCCTGTACAAATGTTGTTAGATATAAGTCATAGGGGATGAGAAATCTGAGCGGCCACATGCACAAAGGCTAAAGGATAAAACACCAACTAGTCTTAGTCAGAAAAAGGCTGAGAACCGCTTTAGGGTCTCCACTGAACTTCAAGATAAATATTTTAATCGTGAAAGCAGCAATACTGCACGCATCCACTTTTTCCCCAGTCAAAATGAAAACAAAACCCAAAGCACACCATGAACTAACTTTGCTCAGATTTGACAATAAAAACGCTAACATCTTTAAATAAGCACCACAATGGAAAACCATCAGCCCAAAAGATTTCATGAAATACTCGGGCTGGTGGCAGAAGGCAGAGATGTTTCACCACAGAACAGCTCCAAACACACGAGATCGTTTTTAGAGGAAAACAAACCATCAAATATTGCAGTGTGCCCTCAAAACCGTGCCCCGGAGGACACGGCATCCCAGGACTTCTTCCATCTGTGCAGCAGAATATGGCAACTCGTAAAGCAACAGAACAGACACATGCCAGCGAGGCCAACAAATGGATGCTTAAACTGCTGAAAGATGCCTGTGGTTTTTTTGAAACACGATTTGACCCTAAAGCCCTCGTGTATTCTGTAAGAACTACACCAAGCACCCACCCGTACAAGCCCTTTACCTTAATGGCCATATTATTTGATTCCGTAGCGCCACTGGTAAAGATGATTTCTCTGTGATCGGCTCCTACTAAATCCGCAACTTGCTGCATGGGGAAAAACGCGGGCTGTGTCGCGCTGGC